GAGAGAGAGAATCAAGAATCAAGCTATCTATTAAAAGCTTTAAATATACAACTCGTCAAAAAAAAATTGTTGATAACTCCTCCTTTGTTCATGGAACAAGGATGAGACATCCATTTCCATGTTTTCGAAAATGATCGAGAAGAGAGTTTTTCAACACTTTTGACATGAAAGCTAATACCTAGCTTCAAGGTGGACAACAACAATATGAAAGCAAGAAATTTATAGCTAGGTAATCAATCTTGTGGCGAGGTGGCTAAGCCTAAGCTCTAATCCTCCCATGACCATAAGGTTCCAAGATACATAAGGAAAGCTATAAAAACCAAAGTAAAACGATCAACTCAAACAGATTGGCTGCTATATCCTAACGCACCAAATCTGTGAGAACTATTACACTATTACAACAATACAAATATGATATTCAAAGCATAGGAAGTAAGAGCACGTGTATTAGAGAGGACAAGGACCCTCTTATAAGCTCATATTCAATTCATATCATGCAAAACCAATCTAAAATAGTGCTAAAAGTGCTGGAATTTAATATGAAATAGAGAAAAAGTGAAAAAGAATGAAAAAAAAAAAAAAAAAAAAAAGAAAAAAAAAAAAACAAAGGGTGTACCACTAGTGAGCTAGCCAATGGAAGGGTGGCTAACCCTTCCACCTTTAATAAAGTTTTAATCAGATTTTAAGCCCAAAACAACTCAGACAGTTAGTATGTGTTGACAAGAAATGAAGAGTAAAAGAGTAAAAGAAAAGGTGATGAAAAGAGTTCAAAGTTTAACCTATTGGAAAGAGGAAGACCTTCTTAGTTAGCAAACTTCAATCCAAACACCCTCAGTATCTGAAATAATGTTCGAAACTTCAGCAAAAAGCTTCAAGTTTGAGCTTCAATGGTGTATCTATAGTGTATTTATATCCAATATGGTAGAGAAGTGTGTTGGACAAGCTTCTAAGCCTTTTGAAAAAAATTTCCTAACCCAAAACTCTAAGGGAGGAGTTCTATTTATAGAATTTCAGCTTCTCACGTTGAAAATATCTCCAAAAAAGACAGCTAGTCCAAATCTCGTGCATGGGAGCAGCCTGTTACTGCAGAAATATCTTTATATGCTAAACATGGCCGGTTAGCCAAAATGATGTACAGCCAGCCCAATAAAAGTGGCCTACCGGTTATTTGTTGGCCTACTATTCTCTAAGTGGTTAGGGAAGAAAAAAGAAGGTTTTTGTCAAAATGGGGTCCAAGGTTTAGGTTTTAAAGTTTGAAACCGAATTCTTTTACTGAAGATTCGAAAGATTGCATAGCATAACATTTCATCATCAAGTGTTCGGAATAAAGCGCCTAAGCCTTAATGGCGATCAAAAATGGGATGTCTATAGTGTCAAACCATTAAAAGTGAACGAATGGCTTAATCAAATCACCAAATCTTTCGAGATTTTGGACATTTGCGGGGGTGAACTTCGGGTGGCCTTTGCCACTTATCAGTTGAAGGGGGGGTGCATGTCAATGTGGAAGTATGCCAAGGATCGAATCGAACACACTTGGGAGGCATTTTCTCATGCCTTTCAAGAGAAATACCTTCATCCTACTGTGAGAGAACATTTAAGGAGGGAGTTTGAGGAACTTGAACAATCTGACTCTACAGTGGCGGAGTTTGAGGCCACCTTTACGAGCTTATCCCGTTTTGCACCAGACCTTGCGGCAACAGAAGAACGTTGGTGTCTAGAGTCTGAGAAAATGATGAGGCCGGGAATTTTGATGAAGGTGATGGGAAACATGATTTGGGATTATGATAAATTGGTGGAGTCCATGGCACATGTTGAGATTATGCTTACGGGCGAAGAGTAGAGGCAATGGCTTAAGAGGCAAGGGTTTCCAAAGTCTCGAGGGGGCCCTACATCATTCAAAAAGTTGAAGGGTTCTTCGTCTTCTCAGCTACTGCCACTACCGGCCATGTCACTGATTCCTATATCTAGGAAGAGTACGAATATTACAGGGCAAAGTGAGGTCACTTGTTATTGGTGCAGTGAGTAAGGTCACAAGTCTGTTGCATGTCCACAAATGAGTAACCAATAGCGTCAAACTTTTACTCATTCTCAGAGCTAGACACCGGGTGGAAGTCAATCACCCATTTGTTATCAATGTGGCCAGCCTGGTTATATGAAGAGGTCTTATTCCCAAATTATCAGAATGGCCGATACTTCAAGATTTCAGTCAGGACAGAGTCAGAGGCAGACTCATCAGCTAGTTTAGTCTGGATAGGCATCTAAAGCCATACATGGGTCCACTTCGGCACAATCTGTGCAACATGCCCATCATCAGAGAGGTGATCAGAGTTAACAAAGACCCCAAGGGAGAGTCTATGTTGTTACTGCATCTGAGTAGTTGCCTAGACCGTTAGTGATGTGAGGTATATACCTTATATATAATACTTGGTCCAATATGTTGATAGATACATGATCATCTCATTCATTCATGGCATCTGCATTCATATCCATGTTGGGGTTAGAGGCTAAACAATTAGAGTCATCGTTTGTGGGAGAATCACTAGTTAGAGGTAAGATTGTCCTAAATCAAGAGTGTTGTGGGTGTGTAATCAAAGTTGTTGATCACCAACTCCCCTTTAGTTTGGTGTTATTAGATATGATAGGTTTTGATGTCATCATCGGCATGGACTGGTTGTCCTCCTATTGTGCCATCATTGATTGTTATCGTAGGAGAGTTACTGTGTGCATTGCTTGTGGTGACTATTTCTATTTCCTAGGGGATAGGACTGATAGACTTTTACTGCCGTTATATGACTCTCATAGTTGAGGCAAATTTAGTTCTCTTCTTGTAACTTTTCTGAATGATGGGAATGGTGGAGTACGAGGGGTATTTCCTAGGGTGGTTTGTGAGTATTTAAATGTCTTTCCAGATGACCGCACTGAACTACCACCTCATCGTGCTGTTGAGTTTTCTATAGACTTAGTGCGTAGCATGACACCCATTTCCATGTCACCCTATGGATTTGCACCGGCAGAGTTGCTCGTTCTGAAGGAACAATTACAATAATTACTAGACAAGGGCTTTATACGCCCCAGTACCTCATCCTGGGGAGCACCGGCTCTCTTTGCTAAAAAGAAGGACGGTTTGTTGCGATTATGCATTGATTACTACAAGTTAAATAGGGTTACTGTTAAGAACAAATATTCATTGCCTAGAATAGATGACTTATTTGATCAACTTAAAGGTTCCAAATGTTTCTCAAAGATAGACTTAAGGTCGGGCTATCATAAGCTATGGGTGAAGGAGGAGGATATATTGAAAACGACTTTTTATACTCGATATGACCATTACGAATTCCTTGTAAAGCCCTTTGGTTTGACCAATGCCCATGCCACTTTTATGGGCTTGATGAATCGAGTCTTCCAAGAATACCTCAACAAGTTTGTGGTGGTTTTTGTAGATGACATTCTTATATATTCACCTTCTGAGAAGGAACATAAGGCGCATCTTTGCATTGTTTTGCAATTGCTTAGGGAGCACAGGTTGTATGCTAAATATGAGAAATGCAAATTCTGGCTCTCTGAGGTGAAATTCTTAGGTCACGTCATTTTTGGGGACCGGGCTACAGTAGACTCTTTGAAGATTAAGGCGATGCAAAATTGGGAGCGACCTACGAACACTTTTGAGATCTGCAGTTTTTTGGGTCTTGCTGGCTGTTATAGACGGTTTGTGAAAGACTTCTCTACATTAACATCTCCATTGACTACGCTAACTAGAAAGGAGTGAAGTTTGTTTGGAGCGAGTCATGTAAAAAATCCTTCTTAGAGCTAAAGGTTAGATTGACCACTACGCCGATTTTAATCATTCCATAAATAAGTTTGGGTTACATCGTCTACTGTGATGCCTCTAGAGAAGGTCTAGGGTGTGTTTTGATGCAAGAAGGTAAAGTAGTGGTGTATGGTTCGCATCAATTGAAAACCCACGAAAGAAATTACCCAACTCATGACTAGTAGTTGGTTGTGGTCATCTCTGCTAACATTGTGGAGACACATTATTTGTATGGTGAGGAATTTGAGGTGTTCTCGGATCATAAAAGTCTTAAGTACCTATTTTTTCAAAAGGATTTGAACTTATGTCAACGAAGGTGGATGGAATTCTTGGAAGATTGCGATTTTGAATTACACTATTATCTAGGAAAAGCCAATGTGGTGGCTGATGCCTTGAGTAGAAAATTCATGAGTACCATTGCTATCCTTGTCATTAAGGAATGGGAAATGTTAGGTGATCTGGGCGAGCTTGACTTGCATCTTAGTGAATCTCCTGAGCATGCTACCTCATTTTCAGTCTTTGCATAACCAACACTTGTTATGTAGGTTATAGAGGCACAATAGGGTAACTCGGAAGTCGAAATAATGGTAAATTCTGATTCTAATGTCTAGTATCTAGATCACCTTTTTGTACTTGAGTCGAGTAAAGACGAGGTACTTCGGGAATTTCATCACTCCCGCCTTGCGGTACATCCAAGAGGCACAAAAATGTACCATGATCTTAGCCGACAATTTTGGTGGAGGGCTATGAAGCGAGACATAGCTTTATTTGTGTCCAAGTGTTTAACTTGTCGACAAGTCAAGGTAAAACATCAAAGGCCAGCCAGGTTGTTGCAACCCTTTCCTATAGCCAAGTGGAAGTGGGAACACATCACTATGGACTTTGTTTCGAGCCTTCCTAGGGCACAAAGGGGTAATGACGCAGTTTGGGTTGTTGTAGATCTACTAAGTCTGGTCATTGCCTCGCTATGTGTATGGGCGACCCGGTTGACTACCTAGCTGAACTTTACATTAAAGAGATTGCCCAGCTTCATGGAGTTTCGGTGAGCATTGTCTCAGATCGAGACCCTTGTTTTACCGCACAGTTGTGGCAAAGTTTGCAAAGTGTTATGCATACCCAATTAACCTTTAATACCGCTTATCACTCCCAGACTGACAGGTAGTCTGAACGCACTATTCAAATCCTAGAAGACATGTTGAGAGCTTGTGTTTTAGAGTTCAAGGGTTCTTGGGAGCGACATTTACCTCTAGCTGAGTTTGCCTACAATAATAGCTTTCAAGCTAGCATTGGGATGACAGCTTTTGAAGCCTTGCATGGGCATCCGTATAGATCGCCTGTGTGTTGGATTGAGGTGGGTGATTCACCCATGCTTGGACTAGAGTTAGTTCGTGAGACCACCAAGAAAGTGGCTCTTATATGCAAGAGGTTAGTTGCAGCTCAAAGTCGACAAAAGAGTTATGCCAACTGGTAGAGGAGACCTCTATCTTTTGAAGTGGGTGATCACATGTTTCTAAAAATATCACCTAGAAGAGGATTAATGAGATTTTGGCGAAGTAGAAAATTGTCACCTAAATTCATTGGTTCTTTTGATATTATAGAATGGGTGGGAGAGGTAGCATATCGTCTTGCCTGGCCACCACAGTTATCTAAGGTACACGATGTGTTTCACATCTCCATGCTTCACAAGTGTGAGCCTGATCATTCCCATGTCTTAGATTGGACAAACTTAGAGGTGGATGAGGGCACTTCGTATGAAGAGAGAAACATGAAGATCCTAGACACCCGAGAACAAGTCTTGAGAGGCAAAACCATTCCCTTAGTCAAAGTATTATGGCACCACCACGGGGTGGAAGAAGCTACTTGGGAACAAGAAGCTAAAGTACATGAGAAGTACCCAGATTTGTTTAATGATATGTAAACTTGGTTGTTTGTTGTTTTCAGATTATATGTATGGTGGTCTGTAGTGGAAAGTAATATGAAAACTTAAAGCTCCATGTCATTATTTAAATTCTGATTTAACTTCGTTTTTGAGGTTGAGATGGTTGAAATTATTGTTAATATGTTATTCTTCTTCTTTGGAAATTGTTGGAGTTATTTGGCAGGAGTTGCAAAAATTTGAAGGACGAAATTCTTTAATGGGGGTAGGTTGTAACAGTCAAGTCTGGGTGATCGCTCGAGCGGTCAAATGGTCGCTCGAGCGGCGATGCGAAGCTTTCAGTATCTTGTCTAGTTGCAGGCGGGATCGCTCAAGCAGTGAAGTGGTCACTTGAGCGAAGATGTAAGGCTCCCAGTATTTTCACTGTAGCTCCGCAAAACTTCTAGAACCTTTTGTTTACCGCTCAAGCAGTGAAAAGATTGCTTGAGCGATCTCGTCGTTTTGTGTCCTTCGCTTGAGCAATGTAAAGTTCGCTCAAGCGGTCTGTTCGAGATAGCAGAGTTAAAACGTGATTTAAACACATTTTTGGCTCACTTTTTCATACTCTTTCTTCTCTATCCACCTTTTTCGAAAACCCTAGCATTAAACACCAGATTTCATCCATTTATCGCAAAAATCCATCATGTGCCTTCATCAAAGTTGTTAATATCGCTGAAAGCTGCATTTTGAACCTAATAGATCGTGCTATTTCAGAAGTTCATTCCTTGGATCTTCATCTTTCACTCATAACCTTTGAAGTAGGAATATCTTTACTCTTGTATATCTACAGTGTGGTTTAAGAGTGTGTAAAACTTAAGGTGTGGATGGATATTGAGATGGGTGATTATATATGTGTATGTAAATGATTGTGTATATGTGTATGGATTTTGTGATGATAGTGAGTTTTGTTTGAAATTGATGAAGGATTGAGTATCTATCAATGGAAGATAGTGCAAAAAGACACTAAACAAGGAAAATTAACACATAAGAGGAAGGGAAAAAAAAAGTACCAAATTTTACCATGTAACCCGAAAGGTTGTTCATGAATTATGACTTAAAGGAAAGGACATTGATGAGTAGAATTGAAGGGTCTTAGAGATTCCTTACAATATGATAAAGGTGTTATTTTTGGAATGTAGTTTGGTGTGCTTTATAGTCTACCCGCGCGGGAAGAATTAAGGTGCCCACTTGCCTGGTCATGTGAGGACGAAAAATGTGGGAATGCACTGAGGTGTCCACTTGCCCAGTCGTGTGAGGGCGACAAATGTGGAAGGATTGTGGTGCCCACTAGCCATCCGTGTAAGGACGGAAAAATGTGGAATGGAATGTAGAGGCGCATGTTCTATGATAAAATTGATGACATTGAACTCATGAGGATTGGTAATGATCATGTATAATTTAAATCAAATATTTATATACTTGGTTAAATATATTCTCTATTGGGCAATCGCTCATTCTTATCTAATCACTTTTCAGGACTTGATGAGCCACCACCTCTCCAATGAAGAAGAGGATGACTATCCCTTTTTTACTTTAATTATTTTGTGAACTTCGAAGTTGTAATTTAACTGTTGAACTTCTGCATCCTTATTTTTTGGGGGGGAATTAGGCGTTGTTGTATTAAACTGACATATTATAATGAGTAAACCCAAGGGATAATGGTTTTTTTTTTCTCTAGCTTAGTGAACTATGAACTGTAATATGTAATTTTGTGGGTTGAAATCTATAGTTCAATGAGAAAGAGAAATATTGGAAATTGAATTGTGTCGTTGTAACATCGCCCGTGGGGTACCGTGCGTTAACAGTTCGGACCTTGGTCTCTTTGATCTAGTCTCATGAGTGCAATATGAAATGTAGATGACGATTCAGATTTGGTAAGTTTTAGAAAATCCATTTTATTACAAAAAAAAGCATTTTCTAGAAATGGACTAAGTCATCAAATCTTAGAGTCACTGCCTAATGTTTTGAGAAAATTAGAAAACCTGTGACGCGTGCCAAGGCCACTGTTCGTTGTAACCAAAGATGTTTGTCTCGGAACCTTAGGTATGAGGAGGAAAGGTCATTAATTGAGCACCCCCGCTCACCCGATCAAACGATCGGCCTTTACTAAGCCATGATATGATTTTTATTAACTTTATATGTTCACATTCCAATTATTTAATAAATCCTAAAAATTCCTATGCGAAACAAAACACATATAGACTATGTTGTTCAATTTAGAGCAGCTTGATTTCATTATGTTGAAAATGTTTTGAATAGTGCAATCAGGGAAATGAATTTTATTTCAAATTAAATAACACAACTTTTCACTCACTGGCATGCATAGAGTTATATAAAATAAGCACATAGTCACATGTTAGGATACTAAACATAGTAGAAAAACACACACAGGTGGGATGCTAAAGCAAAAATAACATACATATTTACCAACATCTCGCAAATAGGCACAAAAACAAAATTAGTAAACATGCATGATCCTAGATACAAGATCCTAATGCGATTCACACATGAAATGGAACTACAGGTCCAGTTTCTAAACTATATGACATATGAATCATCTCAAGACATGAGGTAGCATACAAAATCACATAATAATTGATTAAACCCACAAATGCAAATTTAACCAAATCTTAAGGTATAAAGCATGGATGCAAGGAATGGATATGATGAGAAGAAGGATATACTACATATTGACAAACTATGGAAAGCAATTGAAAGAACGGGATAGAAAGAAGCAAGGATGAGAAATGATTACATCGCTTTGAAATATCACAAATCTGAATAAGGGGAAAGAGGAAAAATATTACAACAAAAATTAAATTCTCACATATACTCTCTAAGTAAACTAAAAACAATAAAAATAGCAACTTCAGGAGGCCTTGGAGATCGTCAGAGACTATTTTGTTCGACACCGGAAGACTACTGGGGTTCTATCTAGGAGAAAACTGGTTGGCCAGCCAAAAGAGGAGCTAGAGGGCTAAAAAGTTAGCCGGCCAGCCAAAAAGGCCAAGCCGAAAGCTCTGTTTTGTTCAAACACTAGAAAAACAAACGAAAAATATGCAAGTGGCTCAACTAATCACTTTTACTTAGCTTACAACAGGTTTATAACATGAAATTGAAGCAAGAAAAGCAATAGAGGAAAGAAAATGCAAGAAAGTAAAAGAAAATGAAAAGTGTGCAAAATTTGATTTTTAAACTTCCTTTTGATCATTTTCAAGTTTGGGGAGTGTGTTCTCAATTCTCAAGTTGAAAATTCAAAATTCAAGTTAGAATGATGCTTTTGGGCAATTTAACAGTATTTTTTTTTTAAAGGAGGGGGAGAGGGGGGTTACAACTCTTTTTTTTTCTCGATTTCAACAACATTCACTCTCTTTTGATCAAAGCTACTCGAATCTGGCTATAACAAAATTTATGGTCTTGATTTGATATATTGAAAGATGGTATATCAGTGTGTATGAAGGTTTTGGTTCAAAACTTAAGCTAACTCTCTTTTTCTCTCTAACTCTCAATTTACTCTCTCCATTCAATTCCATTCTTTTTACATTTTGATCCTCTCTGTCTCTATAAACAATTAGGGAAGGCAACTAAGTCAAGGAGGTGGGAGACAAGGATGATGGAGAGATAAGGGTGGTTGCCTTGGATACTCCTTTTGGGGTATAAAATAATCTCTCTTTTGATAATGGAGGTAAAGAGAGGATAATAGAAGGAGCCTAGATACATCTCGTGCATGAATATAACAAGAAAAGATCTGAAATGGCATGACCCACACGCTTTCATCAAGAATTCTACTAAAATTACCTTGCTCTTGGGCAAATTAGCTGCCTGGCCAATTTCTTGACTGGCCGGCCAATTTATTGCCGGCCGGCCAAAACAATGGCTAAGGCCTGACAAATTTGCTTGTAACAGGATTTTTCGACAAAATTCTCGTCCTTTCCTCCTATTTTCATACTATTCTTTGCTCGATTTCCTCAAAAAAAGTTTCATTTTGAAGTTTAAGAGTGAGCCTCAAAACATTAAGAAAATATTCGGAACAAGCACGGAAAGAAAGTTTCTTAAGAGAGTTTTGAATGAGGTTTGAACACTTGGCCAAAACAAGCTTGGGATTGGAAATGAAACACAAATTTCATATTTCTTACTGAGAACTATGCGAGAAACACATTCCGGTTTTCATCATCAGGTAATCAAAATAAAGTGTCCAAGTCTTAGGGCCAGTCAAAATGAGTGTCTACAGTTGTTTGAAATTATGGGGCATGTTCTTAATGTTTGTTAATTGGAATTGTTTTTAGAATGTTACAAGTGAAGTTTTGAAACTCTCCATTCTTAGAGCTTGAACCTTGTTTTGAACTCTCACCAAGATACTTCCGTTTCTTGAAGTTGACACCCAATCTTCTTTTCAGAACCACGGTTTGTCTTCTTCAATCCCCAAACAATCAAGCCCTCTAGTGACATCTCTTTGCACTTGTACTTCAAATAATTTTTAAACTCTCTCCAAGACAACGACAATTTTCCAATTACAGTTGCTATCTGAAAAGACTCGCTCAGAGACATACCTTTTGCATGAATTTCATGCAGAATAAGCTAAAGATCTTAGACTTGATTGATCTGTCTTGGAATCCACCATCTTAAAATCCAGGAAAGCATCCAACAACAAATTTTTTTGTTCCTGCATCTTTCGTTATATATTTGTGATCCAAGGAATCCCACAATGACTTTGCTATCTTGATTGGACTGTACGCATTGTAAAACGTGTTGTCCAATTCATTGAGGATATAATACTTGCAAAGAAAATCTGCATTTTTCCACACATCTACTGCAACGACAAATTGGGCATCACTCTTATCCTCCTCAGAATCGGCACATCTTTTCGTAAAAACCTTACCAAATTCACGGTAGTTAAATAAAACAACATTTTTCTGTTGTCACCTTTTAAAATCTGTATCACTAAACTTTTCAGGTTTTTCCCTATGGTTCACTAGAACATGTCCATGTGGGTGTTTGGTAAA